GGATGGGGTTGCTGGGAGCTGAGGCCTGGTCTTTTTGTGACATCAGCCCCTCCATGGCTCTGGCAGGGCGGAGGGGGGAAGGGCACTAGGAGAGCTCTGATCCCAACCTCTGGCTCATCCCTTGTCTCCCTACAGCAGGGCCAGGTGGGGATGAGAGCCGGCGGGAGAGAGCCAGCAGTGTGCGGCGCTCCCAGGCCATGCGGCGGCGGCACAACGCAGGCAGCAACCCCACACCCCCCTCCTCCGTCATGGGGTCGCCACCCAGGTAAACGGTGCCCCACACTCCCAACCCACAGTCTCCCGTCCCCCAGTCTCTGGCTGACATCCTTCTGTCTCCCTCCTTCCTCCTCCTTGGCCCCCCAGCCTGCAGGGCCTGCACCGGGGCCTGGCAGCCTCTCATGGGCGGGCACTGACGCTGCCCTCGGCCCTGCAGTTCGCCAGCTCGCTGCTGCTGCCACGCGGTGCTATCCACGAGGCCTGCACCTTTGACGACACTTCTGAGGGTGCCGTACACTACTTCTATGACGAGAGCGGTGAGCGGGGTTGGGGGGGAAGGCTTCCCTGGCATGGACCCCCCAGCCTGGGTGATGTCCCTCGCTCACAACACGCAGCCCCCTGCTCCCCACTTCCCAATGCCTGGTGTCCCTCATTTCCAACCCATAGCTTCTGCCCCCCCCCCCCGCTCTTCTGGTGCCCCTCACTCCTGACCCGCAGTCCCCTACATGCCTGGGACTTTCCCTTCTATCAGGGCTCTGGGGGAGGGTGTGGGGTCCGGGGCCAGGGCCTGGCACCCCCTCCCCCTCAGTGCCCCCTCCCATCTCCCCACAGGCGTGCGGCGCTCCTACACCTTTGGCCTGGCAGGTGGCGGGTACGAGAACCCCATGGGGCAGCAGGTTGGTGCCGAGCACACGGGGAACAGCGCTTGGTGAGTGAGGGTCAGGGGGGTTTGGATGTGGGTGGGAGAGGGTATATAGCACACCAGTCTTTCAGCAGTAGGGGGTGTTTCGTTGGAGGTGGGGCGGCAGCCAGCAGGGGTGCTATGTCTGGGGTCTACCCCTTGACCTTAATGACCCCCGTCTTCTGCAGGGACCGGCACTCGCACTCATCCAGCTTCAACTCAACGGAGGTGGCCGAGGGTGGGGGGCCCGGCCTGGCTCTGCTCCAGCCCCGGCCTGTGGTGCTCCAGGGGATGCAGGTGCGGCGCGTCCCTCTGGAGATCCCCGAGGTGAGGGGGGGCCTTGCCTGGGGGACTGGGGGGAGGGGGGCAATTGTGGGTCCAGGGGGTGGAGGAGGCAGGGGCTGAGTGGATTCCGGGACTCTGGGTCAGGGGAAGAGCTGGCGTCCTGGATGCCCGGGTTCCCTTCAGCTCTGGGAGAAAGCAGGGGGAGTTGTGAGCCCGGACACCTGGGTTCTCTGCAGCTCTGGAAGGGGAGTGGGGCTGGGGGGTGAGAGCAGGGAGGCAGGTCTCAGACTTGGAGTAGAGGCGCTGTCAGCCAGGTGGGTGGGTCTGTGCGGTGGGGGGCACTGGATGGGCCTCGGGGAGGCTGTGACGATTGCTGACTCCCCCACCCCCTCCCCGCAGTTCGACCTGCTGGACCAGGAGTCTCTGCACGAGTCGCAGGAGCACGCGCTGATGATGGAGGGGCGCGGCCGCCCCCGGCACTGCTACAAGTACTGGCTACTGCCTGGGCGTTGGGTGCGGGTGCGCTACGACCGCCTTGCCCTGCTGGCCCTGCTCGACCGGTCAGTGGCCCCCGTACCCCAGCCCCAATGGCCCCCCAGAACTGGCTGCATCCCAGTGAAAGGCCCTGTCTCCCACACCCTGGCCCAACTGCCCAGAGCCAGCTGCAGCCCTGTACCTTCAGCCCTGAGCTCCCTAGAGCCAGCCCCAGCTCTGTCCCCACTAGAACCAGGGACAGCTCCCTGCCCCAGCCCTGACCCCTTCACCCATAGCCAGGGACCCTGGCCCTGACTCCCCACAAGAGCTGGTCTCAGCCCCAAATCCTGAGTCCTGACCCCTTGTCTAGCCCCAGCCCTATGTCCACAGCCCTGATGCCCCCAAGAGCCAGCCACATCTCAGCAAGCGGCCTCCTCTTCCCAGTCCACATTTAGGGGGTCCCTGCTGGTCCCTGACCCCCCTCTCTGGCCCTGTAGGCACCGGGGCGTGATGGAGAACATCTTTGTGGTCGCTCTGGTGGTCCTGGTGGCCTTTCTGGGCTACCTGCTGCTGCTTCAGGGCTTCTTCAGGGACATCTGGGTCTTCCAGTTCTGCGTGGTCATCGCTAGCTGCCAGTACTCGCTGCTCAAGGTGAGACCTCCCCCTGCCTACCTCCCTGGCAGCCTCTGCCCACCTAGGTGCCCTCAGTCTGCCCCTTCCCCCACCACTGGGGCCTGAGCCCTTCTCGCTTTGTCTTCTAGAGTGTCCAGCCTGACGCCGCATCTCCCATGCATGTGAGTGACTGACGGGGCTCACCATGGAGGGTCTGGTATCCCCACCCCAGAGCCAGCCGCAGCCCAGCAAGGGGCCCCATATCCCAGCCCCCCCCAGAGCCGGCTGCATCTGTTCTACTCAGCCGCTGACATGTCCCATCCCAGAGCCACCTGCATTTCAGCCCCATGACCCCAATGCCCGAGGCTCTGTTTGAGAGGAAGCCACATCTCCGTTCTGCCCAGCCCCTGACATCCGCCACCTCAGAGCTGGCTGCACCCCAGTGCTCAGCTTTGTGTCCCCAGACCCTGCCCCACCCCAGAGCTGGCTGCATCTGTGCTATTTGGCTGCCAGCACAGCCCACCCCAAACCCATCTCCCCAGACCCAATGCCCTCTGGAGCTGGCCACATCCCAGCGCTGGGTCCTAACAGGCCCAACACACACTGGGGGGCAGGAGGGGGCAGTGCCAGCCCCTCTGACCCTGCTGCCCCCCCTCTTCCCCCCCCGCCCCACAGGGTCACAACTGGATCATTGCCTATAGCCGTCCTGTCTACTTCTGCGTGGCCTGTATTGTCATCTGGGGGCTGGACTTGTGCGCCCGTGCCCCACCCCTGCCCCCTGCTACCCTCTACGGCCTGGCCCTCTTCTCCCCTGGCTTCTTCCAGGCTGCCCGTGATGCCACCACTGGTGAGTGAGGCTCCCTCCATCCAACCTGGAACCCCTCAGCCAGAGTGGGGAACCTGGAAGCGGCAGTGCAGAGGGGTGACTCCAGCCTGGATTTGGGGAGCTGAAGGGGTCCTGGGGGCCTTGCTTGACCCCTTTTCTCCCCCCTGCAGTTTTCACCCTCTGTTTTCCCATCGTCTTCCTTCTTGGGCTCCTGCCCCAGGTCAACACTTGCCTCATGTACGTCCTGGAGCAGCTGGACATGCACCTCTTCGGGGGCACGGGTGAGCCCGGACACCAGGGTTCTCTGCAGTGCTGGGAGCGAGAGCGGGGGGGCTGGGAGTCTGGGCACCTGGCTTCTTTCCAGCTCTGGGTGGGGAGTGGGGCCTGGGAAGCCCCTGGTAGTGACCTTGCCTTCTTCCCACCCCCCGCAGCTGCCACCAGCCCCCTCTCAGCCCTGTATAGCCTCCTGCGCAGTCTCCTTGTCGCCACCTTCCTCTACGGATTCTGCCTCGGCGCCATCAAGGTACTGGGGGGTCCTGATCCTGGATGCGGATAGGGAAGGGGAGCTGGGAAGGGGGACCTGGCCCCAGGGTCTAGGCTCACCCTGCTCCCCCCCCCATCCCTCCAGGTGCCGTGGAGTGACCAGCATGTGCCCGTCCTGTTCTCTGTGTTCTGTGGTCTCTTGGTCGCCCTCTGCTACCACCTCAGCCGCCAGAGCAGTGACCCCACCGTGCTCTGGTCAGTGCCTGGGGGCTGGGGGGCCGGACTCTTGGGTTCTCTCCAGCTCTGGGAAGGGGGTGGGAGTGTGGGGGGTGGTATCCTGCCCAGCTGACCCCTCCCCCACCCCCCCAGGTCCCTGGTCCGTGCCAAGCTGTTCCCGGAGTTCGAGAACCGCAGCCCCGAGAGCCCCCCCGGCGTGCAGGACCCCCTGCCCGAGAAGCTGCGCAGCTCCCTGGTGAGCAGGGGATGGAGGCTGGGGTGGCAGTTTTGGGAGGAGAAGGGCCCCCCAGGATGCCTGCGCCCCTGACGGCCACTCCCCCCACAGCGGGAGATCCTCTACTCGGACCTGGTGATGTGCGTGGTCATCGCTGTGCTCACCTTCGCCATCAGTGCTAGCACTGTCTTCATCGCCCTCAAGGTGCGGACTCTCAGCCCCCTGCTCTCCCCTCAAACCCCATTCCCCTCTCAGGGCTGGAGGGAAGTCTTGGGGCACGCAGGGTGTGGAGGGGGGGGCTCCATGGGGAAGTGTCTTGGAGGGGCTGGTAGGATATGGGGTTGTGTGAAAGGATCTCAGGGTGCATGGGGGGTGAGAGGGTCTCAGAAGGGCCAGGGTGTCTAGGGGGATGTGAGGGTCTTGGAGGGGCCACTAGGATATGGCGGGGTATGAGAGGATCTCGGGGTGGGGGGGAGGTGAAGTGGGGAGTGTAAAGGTCTCAGGGGTGCGAGAGGGTCTGGGGCCAGTCTCCTGTGAGCCAGGAGGGGGCATCTCTGACCCCTGCCCCCCGGCCCCCCAGTCGGTGCTGGGCTACGTGCTGTATGCCCTGGCCGGGCTGGTCGGCTTCCTCGCCCACTACCTGCTGCCCCAGCTCCGCAAGCAGCTGCCCTGGGTCTGCCTCGCCGTGCCGGTGCTGAAGCCCCATGAGTACAGCCAGTTCGAAGTGCGCGGTGAGTGTCCCTCCCCTGAGCTGGCTGCTGCTGTTCTACTTGGCTGCTGACATGTCCCACCCCAGAGCCAGCTGCATTGCAGCCCCATTACCCAAGGCCCCACCTTAGAAGCAGCTATGTATGTCTTTGTTCTTCTCAGCTGCTGACACCCCCCACGCCAGAACCAGCTGCATTCCAGTGACTGGCTTTGTACCCCCAGCCCTTGCCCCACCCCAGAGCTGGTT